AAAAAGATTTTTAACTATATTTTTGTGGTGTGATTAAATATTTTTATAGTTGATATTGTGATTTTAGTGAGGTTTTTTCCTTGTTTAGCATGGTTTCTTTGCTATAATGTGTTTGGAAGGTGGTCTTCAGGATTACTTTCGAGGTGCTACTAAAACTGGTATCTATTGCATGTACAGTATCTTGGTCAAATTCTTATTAATCTTTTCTGTGATATTTATTGGAGTGAGTTCAAATCAATCAGATCAATGTGATTTGGTGGTTCTGGGGCTGAAAGATCTTGGGAACCACTGTACCAGTTAAAGACTTGCTCTGGTGCCCACATTTCACCCTGACCTCTTCTTTTTTCTTAGTTTTATTGTTTGTGGTTTAATTCTAATAAATGACTTAGAGGAAGATGCATTCCTGGAACAGACAGAGATTGAGGGCAGCGATTGTTTGTTAGTTCGGTAAATGGGGTCTACAGAACTGACCCCGGCATCGACGATGTCTGAGCCCTCTTCATGTCCTGGATTTCACATTCTAATAATGACTAATGTGTTTGCCGACGTCAGCCTGCTCTCATTAGAGTGATTTATAGCCCCGGCAGTTTTCAGTAAACCAGAGGAGCCGTATTCCAATTTATTCAGGTCAAATTAACCATTCATAATTAGACACCATAACCTTTCCCGCTTTTCTTTCCTAGTCTGAATGCGCTTTACATGAAATGCAAATGTTCATTGTTTAATCTCCCTGCTTGTCATTAAGGAGGCCCCATGCAGGGCAAAAGTTTAGCCTGAATCAATCTCTTAATGCTTAATAGCTAATGGGCTGATTTATTGCCATGTAATGAAGGTGAAGGCCTTCTTTTCTCTAATGGTGGCATTGACCCTATGGAGCCCCTCAGCCATTATTCCAATGTCAAAACTGTGCAGCTTATATTATTGCTGCAATGACTCATTTTAATATAAAGTATATCACCTATAAACTTACTAATCTCCAATTACTCTACTTGGCTGTAGGAATTATTTGAAAAATTTTACAAGTACAGAATTGGCAAGTATTCTGAAATCTGTTACATTATATTGATTTTTTTTTTATTATATAATGAGAACACACAGAAACACACACAGAGAAACATTTTGTATTAAGGTTGGGTGATTTTTTTTATTTTTATTTTTTCAAAAAAAGTTTCCAACCAGCCATAATCCGTCCAACCACCAGTAACTGGTGATACATTCATGGAGATGTATGTATCTCTGTGTCACAAGATTATGTTAAAGGCACATAAGTCATCAGGAGGGCGAACAACAGTGCTTATATTTTATCTCACTACATACATATTTATCAGCCACGACATTAAAACCTCTGACAGGTGAGGTGAATAACATTGATCATGCAAGAGCCTCCTGTGAGTCTTTGGGCTGCGACATGTCATGCATTTTGAGGTTACCTAGGCACGTACAACTTAGCTAAAGGCTATTGTACACTCCTCAGTGTCATTGGCTTCCCCCAGCAGGACATTATGTTCTGCCACAAAACAAACTGCCCAGGAACAGCTGAAGAAACATGACAATGAGCCCAAGGCACTGACCCAACCTCCAGCCTCCTGCCTCCCCAGATCCCAATCCAATCTAGAATTGGCAGCATTCGGTGGACTAAGCCTCCTCCATAGAGGCTGCAGCCCACAGCCCACATGTCCCACAGGAGCTACTGCCAGCATTTTGGTTACAAACACCACAGGATATCCCCAAAGGTCCTGTTGTAATGCCCCAGACAGGTCAGAGGCATTTTGGTGGCGTACAAGGAAACAACCCAATGTTAGGCAAGTGCTTTGAGAACTTTTCCAACTATCAGAACTTATACCAGTTTTAATTTGGTTGGGAAGTGGGGCACGTTGGGTTGT